TACAAAAACAGAAAAAACCCGAAAGGAATCAAAAAACAGACAAAACATTCTGATTAGACAAAAAAAAAAAAAAAAAAAAACAAAAAAACTAACCCCCCCCCCCCCCCCCCCCAAAAAAAAAAAAAAAAGAAGCTACAATTAGATGAAAGTAGCTGGAAAAAAGTTTAAATTTGCACAAGTTGAAAGAAGCTGAACCAGAACAAATTAACAAAATTTCGTACCATAAACATGCAAATGTGAGCTAGTATGACGGTAAAGAACCCTTGAATCCTTGAAAAGCTGCAACAGGCTGGCTAGAAGCTGAAAGTAGCTAGCTAAGTAGCTAGACTTGCTAAAAGTAGAACTGTAGCTAAAAGGTAAAAGTAGCAAAATTGTGGCTTAAAACTAAAAGTAGCAAAAGAAGATGAAAGTAAAGTAGGTAAGCTGAAGCAGATTTAATACAAGAACAATGTTTTTAAAGGAATTGACAAACTCTCTATGTATTTTTATGGGTAAGATTGTAGTAAATAAAGTGAAATATTTTAAAAAGTAGAAAATTTAGCAAAAACAAAATTCGTAGCACCCACACCCTGAATGAGCCTAACGCTTTTATCCATTAGCAGCTAAAATAGTACAAAGTGTGTAGAGCTAGTTAGAGCTCAAATAAACCCACGTGAAGTAACGACATGACGCTGAGTCAGCGTTCAGCCCAGTCCAAGCTGTGATGTCCTTGCTTTAGTTCTGCTGCAGCTACTTTACGAGCTGTCTGATGTGTTGAACTGATGGTTGCAGCTGCAGAGATGTGATAACGTGTCGCTCGTCTTTGTCTCCAGTCTACTTGGAAGACAGTTTCATCAAATCAGGAGTCTTCAGTGTTGCAGAGCTGGTGCGAGTGTCCAGAAGTAAGTGCACGCTCATTTACTTTTCACTAACCCTGCTCATCTAGTTGTGTGAAAGCAGCTTTCTCATCCCACAGTGTTTGTGCTATTTCAACAAATCACATACTTTTCTGCAAGTTTCATTTTTTTCTGCAATTTCAGCTACTATTTAGCTGTTTTTATGCAAATTTTAGCTTTTTCGGCTAATTCCACATTTGTTGCACTCATTCAAACTTTTTCAGCCTAATTCTGCAAAAATGTGCGCTCTCCACTTCTGATAATTTAAGCTTCTTTATGCCTTTTTAGCTACTTTTCAGCTGTTTTTGCATATTTCAGCTGTTTTCATATAATTTCCACTATTCAGTGTTAATTTCTGCTACTTTCAGCCTAATTAACCTCATTTAGCTAATTTCAGCTTGTTGTGCACCTTTCTGCTTTTTCTTTTTCAGCTACTATTTAGCTCTTTTGATTATGCTGTTTTTAGCTTTTTCAGGTAGTTCCACAATTTTTAGCTCATTTCAGCACTTTCCACTTCCTTCTGTTGGTTTAATTTTTTTGCATTTTCAGCTACTTTTCAGCTGTTGTTTAGCTAATTTCAGCTTTTTTAAAGCTAATTTCCTAATTGATGTTCTCATTTCTGCTTATTCAAACCTAATTCAGCAAATGTGTTCTGTCTGTTATCTTCTAACAGGCTTGTTCTTCCTTTTCAGCTACATTTCAGCTTGTTTTTAGCTAATTTCGGCTGTTTTTCAGCAAGTTCTTCAGCAATGAGCATTCACACGTTTCTCTAGTTTGCACGCGTTTTTAGATTTTTCTTTTTTTGTTTTTGCGCTTGTGAAAACAGGCTGCAGTTTCCCCGACGCTCACACGAAGTGCGACAGGCGAATGAAAGTTAACGCAGGAGTCCGTCGGTCTGTTTGAACTCTCACAGTCGTCGCTCATCAGATTTACTCACGTAGCTAAAACCGCCCGCGTGTTTGTGCTGAAACTCCACATAAACGGTACGAACTGACCCTGATTTTCAAAGAAAACAAAACAAACGTACCCTCAACTGTCACATTAAACTCTGTTTTCCTTCCTAATCTCTGCGCCAACTGAAATCGCACCATGCAGCTGTGGCGTGGTGAATCCAGTTTAGCCAGTTTGTATTTCCCCCCCCCCCCAATAAGATGACTCTTGAGCGCAGCTGTCTGCAATCATCTGCTCAGACACGTCCCGCTGCCTCTGCGAAGCGTTTGACGGTTGTTCTCTGAGACTCCTCTGTTACCTGAGGCCACGCCGAGGCACCGTTTACCTGCACGGCCTCCGAGCCGAGGCAGCGACTGTAGCGAACCGTCCCGCGGAGCACAAAGACTCCAGTCAACACAAACATGCCTGGGTGTTCCAACCGGCTCCAGCTCTACGGCATTTACATCAGAAATGTGTGCAGGTTCTGTTCTGTGCCGTAGGCAGGGACGCCGGTGATTTTCTGGTCAATCTGAGGAGAGAGTGTGAGAGTTAATAAGATTAGATGTTGATCTGAGTTCAACTAAATGAATCAGAATCAAATAACTGAGAATCTACAGAATATTAATGTGGTGCAGCCCTTCTGTTATTACCTTTGGTAAGAACCGAGGTTTGATTTTATTGATTTTTTTTATTTTATTTTATTTTTGAAGCACTTTGGTCAAGCGTGTTGTTTTTAAACTTGCTAAAAAAAAAATATTTAACATTGATCGGTCATAGTTTTTAAGGCCAATTCTGATTTCTTTAGAACCATCATCAACGTATCATCAAAGTTCATGCTCAATAATCCAGGTCAAAAATCCAACAAAGTTCTGTCAGGTCATCTGGACTTTTTTTTTTTTTTTTTTTTTGAGACATTTCGTCCTTCATCCAAAGGACTTCGTCAATCCGAGGAGCTACAAACAAACTCAGTCCCACAAGCAGCACACTCACATAGTAGACCAACCAGTTTGCTGGTGATAAGATGGTTTCTGGGGCCCGCCCTCTCCCCTGTCGACTCCTCTGAGGCAGCCAAAACATCAAAGTTCAAAACATCAAAGCTCATGCTTAATAATCGAGGTAGAAAACCCAACAAAGTTTAGTCAAGTCACCTGGATGGTTTATTTTTTGTTGTTGTTGAGACGTTTTGTCCTTCATCCAAAGGACTTCATCAGTCCAAGGAGCCACAAACATCATCAACATAATATATATTTTCTGGGTAAATTTTAAATTTGACTGTTAAGTTTTAATAAAACGTTCACAGAAAAAAAAATCATCCAGATTATTGGACAGCCCACTATTACTAGCACTAATTAGCAGTTTAGCTATGATGTGTTTGCGGACCAAACAACACAAAAGGTTTCAAATTAAGCAAAACATTGTGTGGTTCTGGTCACCGGCCCATCGACTGGTACATCTCTACCTTTTTAATTTAGGGAAAAATGCTGTTGATAGTTTATCTTTGTCTTTAGATATAAGTTTAACTAGAGAAACTGCATTTCCTGCAAAAATGCAGTGTGAATGCTTATTGCAGAAGAACTTGCTGAAAAACAGCTGAAATTAGCTACAAAAAACAGGCTAAAATTTAGCTGATAATGTAGAACAAGCATAAATCAGCAGGAGAAAGAAGAAAGAACACAAAAGTTGAAATGGGTGCAAAAAATGCGGAATTAGCTGAAAAAGCTAATATTAGCATAAAACAGCTAACTAGTAGCTGAAATAACGGAAACTAGCAGAAATAATCTGAAAGGAGCATAACATGTTGAAATTAGCAGAAATAATTTAATTAGGCTGAAAGTAGCAGAAATTACCATGAACAACTTTAATTTATCTGAAAACAGTGGAAATTAGCTTAAGTATGCTAAAGAAATCTAGCTGAAAAGGTAGAACAAGCTTGAATTAGCATAAGAAAGCAGAAAGAACATTTTTCCAATTAGGCTGAAAGAAGCAGAAATGAACACAAAAAATGGAAATTACTTGAAAAAAGCTGAAATTAGCTTAAAACCAGCTGAAAAGTAGCTAAAAATCAGAAAGAAGCTTAAATTACCAGGCAGAAGTTGAGAAAGCACATTTTTGCTGAAATAGACTGAAAAATGTTAGAGTGGAACAAAAATTGAATTAGCTGAAAAAGCTAAAATTAGCATAAAAACAGTTAAATAGTAGCTGAAATAGCAGAAAAAGCTGAAACTTGCAGAAATAAGCGGACATTAGCAGAAAGAAGTCAGAAGAAGCACAAAAATCAAACTAATCAGACTAAGAAAAAGTATTTTTTATAAATTATTCATAAAAAAAATTCATCGTTTAGTTTTTTCTCTTTTCAAACGTCATTTAAAAGCTACTCTGTGACAATATTTTAACAATTTCAACTGACAAAACCTAAATAAAATAAAATTTACATGTATATATATATATATATCTTAACATTTTCATGGCCCAAGTTCATAATATTGTCTAACACTAAATATTATTTTTCTTTATCCACAACATCAAGTAGATCTGATGTACAAACATCGACCAAATATTCTCATGTTCTTCTCAGAAAGACAGAGATGACTCCGACACGATGATCTCTTGGAAGATTGCCTTTCAATATTTTTGGACGTGTGGTGTTTAGTTTGCCTTCTGACCAGATGGCCTCTGAGCTGCCATCTTTGCTCTCGTGTGACAGAGGCCGGTCTCGCTGAAGCCGGGGCAGGAATTTTAAAAAGGTCGCCGGACACACACAGGGATTGTCACTCACTCGGCCAATCGCTCCCCGGGCAGATATCTGAGCAGCCGCTCGTCCGTCATCGCGCTCCTCTCCGAGCCGCTGAGACGTTCTTTGAAGTCCATCAAAGGGAGCTGAGGAGTTCAAGGCCGAATCGCAGCGTGGCATTTCGCCTCATTAACGCAACGACAGGCCTCGACTGCAAGTAGAGAAATATTTGTTGGTCAAAACTGTAGCGCACATTTACAACCGTACATCGTCTTTTCTTTGTCAAAATGAACTGAAAGATAAATTGTTATGACTTAACCAAAACCAAATTTATTGAATGAGTTGACTGACAGGGTGAGCGAGTGGCACTACAGCGCACATGATGCTTGTGGGGGGGGGGGGGGCGGGAGGGTAACCTAAACCATGAACAGAAAGGCCAGAAACCCCAAAACAATGATCTGGCATTCAGCGTCCTCGGGCCGGATGCATTCCTCCACAGACAGCTTGGTGTGGGTAGCAGCAGCTGGGGGGGGGGCTCCGTCAAGGCTACAGCGGGTTGCCAGGGCTGAGGCTGGCGGACGGATCGTGCCAGTGGTGAACCTCAGACCACAACAGACAGCGCCACACGCTCCAATCTTCTCAACCACTCCAAACCAACCAAGCACTCGAGCTGCAGCCTGCCTCGCGGGCCACACACTGATGGGAGTGAAAGTACGAGACGTGGGGGGGAGATGGAGCGAATATGGGTGGAGATCTCCTTTTGTCCTGTAAACACAGACACGGCTTGGCTTGAAACGGTATCCCTCACCTTAACCGCAGTGAGAAAAATAACACCGGTCACCACCAGTAATCATTATCGGAGGAAACGGCAAAGAGTTTCATGGGAAGTTCCTACAAATGTAATATACAACCAGTAACTAGAGAGATTGCATTTCCTGTGAAAATGCAGTACGAATGCTTATTGCTGAAAAACTTGTTGAAAAACAGCTGATATTTGCTAAAAAAAAAAAAAAAAAAAACGATATGTAGCTAAATGTAGCCTAATTTAGCAGAAGAAAGCAGATAGAACACATATTTGCTGAAATGAGTTTAAATGAACAGAAATTAGCAGAAAATTTAGGAAAGTAGCTAAAACAAAAGCTGAAATTAGCAAAAAGAATTTGCTGAAAAGTAGCTGAAAGACAGAAAGAAGCTTAAACTAGCAGAACGAAGCGGATAGAGTTAAAACGAGCTTAAAAAATGTGGAATTAGCCAAAAAAAGCTCAAATTTGCACAAGACAGCTAAATAGTAGTTGAAATAGAAGAAAAGTTGAAACTAGCAGAAAAAAGTTGTAATGAGCATAACAAGCTGAAATTAGCAGAAATAAATTAGTTAGGTTGAAAGTGTCAGAAATTACCATGAACAACTGAATTTATCTGAAAACAGCTGAAATAAGCTAAAAAATAAAAGAGAAAAGGTAGATGAAAAGGTAGAACAAGTTTAAATTAACAGAAGAAGGCAGAAAGAACACATTTGCCCAATTAGGCTGAAAGAAGCAGAAACTAGCACAAAAATTAAAATTGTAGGAAAAAAGCTGAAATTGGCAAGAAAAAAACAGCTAAAAGGTAGCTAAAAAAGCAGAAAGAAGCTTAAATTGCAAGAAGGAAGTGGAGAGAGCACATTTTTGCTGAATTAGGCTGAAAAAAGTTTAAATGAGTGCAAAAAATGTGGAATTAGCTGAAAATGCTAAAATTAGCATAAAATTGCTAAATAGCTGAAATAGCAGAAAAAGATTAAACTTGCCGAAATAAGCTGAAAGGAAGATAACAAGCTGAAATTAGCAGAAAGAAGTTCGAAGAAACACAAAAATATTGTAGTTGGCAGAAACAGCTGAAAGTAGCTGAAAAAATGTTTAAATTTGCACAAAAAAGCTGAAAGAAGCTGAAGCAGAACAAAATGTGAAAGGAGCAGTAAAAGGTTGTGAACACATCTAAAGATCTGAAGGACGTAAAATGAGCTCATTTCATTTTATATGAGGAAAAAGTGGCAGAAAAGGCAAAATATTACAAAAAGCTAAAGCTGCACCAGTACCAAAAGTCTTGGCAGGATTGTCCTGAACGAGCTGAATGTTTTGATTTATGATTTGTTGAAATGGCACAAAAACTGTGGAACGAGAAAGATGCTGATAAACATACAGAAGATAAATGATCTCAATGGTGTGAATTCTTCATAAACGTTCACACAATAATGTTAATTGACCTCACAACCAAACATTTCAAATTCCATGGGTACAGAAGAACCCAAAGCAGCTTCAGTTTCTTGTAGCCACTTTGTGTCTGGTTTAAAGTCGAGTAATGAGAGAGTTGACTCTGAACCTGACAGCCGCGTGACTTTGAGCTCCTCCTTGTGTCCTCTGCAGTGCCCATCACCCACGGCGCAGCGGTACCCTTCTCCATGGCCGACATGCCGGGACAACCCTACTATCATGACCTGAACTCCAGCGTGGGACTGCACCGCTCCCTGTCCTCCCCTCCTGGCAGGTCAGGCCAACTTACAGCAAACAGATGCATTCTGGGGATAAAATTAAGATGAGAAAAGTCATTTTGTAGTTGGGTCTAAACAACGACTTGATTTTTTAAATATATATTTAAAACATTGTTGTCGAACATTTTCTTTTTAAAGCTCTGAAAGTCAGCTTGCTTGTTTTGTTTGTTTGTTTGTTTAGCTTTTAAACAAAGCATTTCCTACACGAATGCATGTTTGTTTCCTCGCAAGCAAGAGTTTTCAACAAATGTCTCTCGTGACCTGTTAGCATTCAAAGTATGTGATGTAGACAACTCTTAGCTACTACCACACCAAACTTTAGCTCCGTATCTATTAAACCGACGAGATCTTGTGTGATCTGTTAACATTCAGAATATAAGATGTGGATAACTTTTAGCTACTACAAGTTTTAGCACAGTATCTGGAAAACTGGCTGAGCTGTAGCCATGTTTGTGTTTATATTTAGTTCAAATGTAGCCCTGACCATCATTTGGGGGGGGGGGGGGGGGGGGGGGGGTCAAGTCTCCCCTCTTGGATAATGTCTGCCTCTCCTTTTAGCCTTCAACAATCCTTTCTCTCACATAGGGAAGTTGAGTCATTCCATGCCGAATCATCCCCAAATGTCTATATTTTAACTCGGCCATCTCGGATTTTGATTAATTTTGTCTTATTCGTCAATCATGATCCCACGGCACTGTCTCTCAAATCTCAGGTCAATCGGACCAGTGGTTCTAGAGATATACCCTCCCCAAGATTTTAAGATTTCTGGAAAAAAAAATGGGCGTGGTCGCCTATCTTCAACTTCAGGAAGTACCTGGTCGGTTTTCACAACTTTGATGTCACTGAAAAGGGAATTTGATACGTATTTTAAAATCTTTTTATTTGTCCTTGGTGGGGCCCACAATTTTTTAAAATCTTTCCTATGACCTTGGAACTGACCTTGTGGATCACGTGGCCTTGAGATGACCTTTCCAGAGTTACTGCCCCCACTTGTTTTCTGAAACTTATAAAATTTGCACATCACCAATATGCATTCCATATCAGAAATGCATCATAATCACATAATTGAAGTTTTTATTTCATCATTCCGGTTCAGTCGGGCCAAATTAACACGGACACCGTCTCCCGGTTGTATGTTTTGCGGTGGCGCCGACTGATTGGGTCAAGATATTAACTGCGTCTTTCTGTGCAGCAAAAGGCCTAAAACGGTCAGCTTGGATGAGAACATGGACACCAGCCCGACAGGACCCGACTTCTACTCGTCACCCAGCTCACCAGCAAGCAGCCGGGCAAACTGGCACGACAGAGACGGAGGTGAGTTCTCTTGTTTGTTTGTTTTTTTACCTCGTCTCTTTGCCATATTTATCCTCAACCTGTTGAACTCTTGTCGTTTAATTTCAGGCAAGTTGTACATTTTTAAATTTTAGACGTACAACTGTCTAGATACCTAAACTACCATTTGAGACACTGTTCGTTTTGTCACGCAAACGTTACCAATTTTCAAATATTCAGAAAGACAATTGTTAGCTTAGATTGAGTTTTTTTGAATTTCAGTTTTTATAGAGGAATAAAAATATCTAAATATATTTAGCGTATTTTTCGGGCTATAAGGCGCACTTAAAATCCTTTAATTTTCTCAAAAATCGACAGTGAGCTTTATAATCATGTGCGCCTTATGTATTAATTCTGGTTGTGCTTACTGACATCGAACCCATTTTATGTGGTACAATGAACAATGTTGAGAGTTATTGTGAATGAGTTGAATACATTTTGACTCAGGCCTGTCGCAATAAACAAATCAATTATTAGCATGATAAATGAAAATTATCGACCTCATTTTCTTTTGTCAACTTTATCGTTTCTTCGTGTCTCTCTCTTTCTATTAAAGACACTGGATGACAACAAGCTCAACTCCGGTGCTCTTCACTGACCCCTCTTTCTTTTTTTTCTCTAACCTCCTAAGACCCAGACTTTTGCATATGTGGATGCCAGGTCCTAGGAGGTTAAAATCTGTTTTAACTGTCCAAAGTCACATTTTTGTATTGTGAAAAGAAGCTAAGCTACAAGCTAAGCTAACAGGTCGACCTCAGGGGAAAAAAAACCTCTGTCTTGTCGAAGCTCCAAATTTCACGGTCGAAACCCACTGCATGCAAAAAGTTGTTTTTCTCTGTAAAAAGAAGCTGAGAACTTTTTTGTAGATTTTTTGTTATTAAAAGCTTTATGTGAAAAATGCTATGCTATAGAGCTCAAACCACACAGAGCGTCCGCCATTTTGAGAACCAAATATAAGAAGGAGAGACAGCCCGTGTCACATCAAGGTGACTCCCTCCCTTTTTTCTTGAAGAGACACGCTGCTCACTCCCTCACTATCCATCCTTCGGTTCAAACAGTCTTATACGGCCATCCGGTGTTCAAAAAAGGTACTACACTCAAAACAAATTAACCAACATTTCTTTTTAAATTTGACAATAATTACTAATTATTGTCAAATTTCAAACAATATTATTGTTTATCGCAATAATTTCTGAGACAGTTAATCGCCCAGCAAAATTTGTTATTGTGACAGACCTAGTTTGACTTATCAGACTGTTTGGTTTCGCTTAATGCGCCTTATAATCCAGTGCGCCTTATAGTCCGAAAAATACGGTAATGACTTCATGCAACGGGCTAAAACAGATGTGTATGTTGGAGTAACACGCCTGTTTTTTCGTGTTTGTTCAAAGAGAGAAAATAAGATCCTCACAGGATAACTGGAACGTCTCATTACGCTGTCCTCCAGCGTAGAGACCAAATCTTTTAATTAAGCGCTCGCGTTTCCCAATGGTCGTCCCTCTCCGCTTACTTCTGTCTTCGCCCCGCAGTGAAGTGTTTTGTCTGACTGAGACAAACAAAATCACTGGAAATCAAATCCATATTTTCGGCAAGACGCACGGCAGTTTCAGATGCAGTTTGAACTTAGACCGCCTCTTTTTATTTAATTTAATATAATCAGTAGAGAAATGACACCCTAGAGACTCAGCCACAGCCACAATGTGGCTGCGTGAAATTTTAGCGTGTCCCTTTTTGCACAAGGCCTGAGAGGATTGCTCTGCGTAAACTTCGACACTCGGGGTGAGCAGAAAGGGAATGAAGTGGGTAGGAAACTCTCCAAAGTCGGCCATTATACTGTCAAGAGAGAATAAATGAGAAGTGGGTTGAGATTAAACCCATATGAGTCCTCCGGAGTGCCAAGCAGTAGTGGAGGAAAATGTTTGTTCGGTTTGGAAAAGCACTTGAATTTTTTGTGGATTTTATTAAACTTGTGCACGTTTTTGCCCCACCTTTTAGATATTTGAGGTGTTCAGTACAGTAAAGGTCTGTTAATTGATTATAGTAATTAGGTGTGGCAACATTTTCCTCTCTTCTTTTTTCTTCTGTTCCCTCTTCATGGGTCTCCACAGGGAGTCCATCTCTCTCTGTCTTCTCTCCAACTTCCTCCGTATATCTCCTATACCTTTTTCCTGGCAGCTGCGTTTCTAACACCCTTGTACCATAATACCCACTGTCCCCACTCTGGACATGTCCAAACCATCTTAGTCTCATTTATCTCCCAGTAGATGAACTTGCATATTAGTTTTAGCAATAGTGTTTTACGCCGGATTACCTTCTTGACGCAACCCTTACCATTGACCAGGGCTCGGGACTGACACGAGAGATCCTCTGGCTTGTGCTCCCCAGTGGCTAGTTTAGATGTATTTTCCTCCCTGACAAACAAAGACTCTGCTTGAGTGTGTCCTCGTCCAAACTGAGGCTGGGAAATCCCCCTGAATTCCCACCAACTCTCCTCTTTGGAGATAAGTGACTTTTCCTCCACTTCTAGGCGAACTCAGGAAAGGCACTGCCTCCACATTAGGCTTCGTATGACCTATTTTTGGAGGGAAGGGAGATGTAGGATGTGAAAGTTATACACCCAGTTGTAACAGGCGAGGAACGGAAGAGGCAGGAGAAGGCATAGGCCATTGCCTCTCGTGTCTTTTTGTTATCACGTTCCCGTTAAACTCCGTGTCTCTCCGTGGAAAATTGAAAACCGCACAACCGTGACTGCAGAGCGTTGCTCATAAAAGTGTAGCGCTGCAGTAATGAGCAACTCATAAGTTGACTTTGCACACATACTTCCAGTCTTTAGCTTAACATGAATGTCCTTAATAAATTTAACGTCCTCAGCCGGGCTTTACCGGATTGACATGTTCCATTAAAGATTACGTGAAGGTCTTGGAATCCTTTAATCTTGTTGGAGTGACAAGTTGGTTCTAAACAAAGTTACTGCACCGGATTTAATTTTCTATTTGGGTATTACGACTTATTTTGAATTTCTCGCGTCCAGTGATTCTGGAGATCAGGTCATTTGGGAAAATCAAATTTTCCAGGTTTGCTTTTAATCGTGGTGGAAAAAGAAGTCCTTTATTTATTTTTTTTTTTTTTTGCACATCCCCAACTGGATTAAGTTCTGCCTAATTTGAGCAATAATTTGCTTTAATTGATGACTAAGAGGTATCAGTGGAAATGTTTAGAGAAGAATTTGACAGATTGTCGACAACATACGTAAATCTTGAGTCGTTTGAGTTATTTTTTCTGTCTTTAAACAGTCCTGTGAAAAAGTCTAAAATCTTTTTATATTTTGCTTCCATGGTCTTGAGCAACATTTGGTACAGCTTTCTGGATGTTTTTTTTTAAATTATTATTATTCTTTAGAACTTTAGCTTTTTCGCTTAGTTTCTCTCCAGTATATGATCTTTTTAGACATAAAACGTTCCAGAGAAACAGAAAAGAGAATAGAAATCCATTTGAGACTGAAACTTTAGGTAGTGACTAATAAAAGTATTAACTAACGTACTGCCTAGCAAGGTGCTTCCTAGCTAACAGCAAGATACTAAACTAAGGGTAAATGGCATCTTTGCTAACAAGTTACTACCTGGTTTGCTAATAACTTGCTAGCAAGTTACTAGTTGGTTTGCTACTTGCTAGCTTTTCTAGCTAGGAAGTTACTAGCTGGTTTACTAATAGCTTGCTAGTAAGTTACTAGCTGGTTTGCTAATAACTTGCTAGCAAGTTACTAGCTGGTTTGCTAATA